GGTCGTCGTAATGTGTCAGAATGGCCATCATCATAACGTCATTGCAAAATATAGCCCCAGATTTTCGGTGTCAGGGCACATCAAAGATTTAAATCTTTGCATAGAACTGTCAAAATGATTTTTTCTTTCTTTATCCAAAATCACAGCCTGCAGTGAATTTTATTTGCTTATATTTGCCATTTGTTATCAAAAAAAGGACAACAATACAAATTATCCTATTGTAGAGAGAGAAAACAGTCGGTTACTAAGCGACGCGGACTCGCCGCACACTTGACCAAGATTCGGAAATTGTGGACTTAGGGATCAAAATTGAGCTATCGCAATGATTTTTTTTTTACGGACAGCTTAAAACAATAGCAGAAACTTTTGTTCTAGCACTTATGCTAAAAAGAACTTTTTCATAGTAAAAAAAAATATTGTTTTTTTTTCTTGTATGGAAAAAAAGTAACTATGGTGTTTTTTTTTAAATGGTAAAGAGTACCAAAAAAGCTGCTAGTAGGTGTTATAGTGCTTACAATTATTGACAATTTTTGCCTTGACGTTATATCCATAAGTCTGCAGTTTTGGCGTCCACAGGCCTTGGAAGTTTCCATACATAATGTATGGGATTTTTTAAGTAGTTGAGGGTAAATTTAGCATCTATGTGATTCGAAACAGAAAATAAACTACCAATAATAATGTTTGATACTTAATACAAAGACCTAAACTTAAAATAAAAAACTCAGTATTCGATTTTTTTTGTATAGAGAATTATTTGATATATTTGTCTTCCATTGACACAAACGTTAGAAAAAATGACTAATAGGTTAAAATGTGATTATAGCGTGTGCGTAATATTGTCTGACGTCACAAACGTAAATCTACCGCTTTGGTTTCTTCAGCTCAAGGATGTTGAGTGAGCGACGAACGGGAGCGAAATGACTGGCGCAGACAGACCCACCTATATTTATAACACGTATGCGGGTCTCATACTATGCTGTCAGTACACCTATTGTGTGTCAGTTAATAGCGTGCGCGCATTAACCTCTACCTTGCTCTCTGTCTACTCTATCCCTTATAATTATAAACTGGCCTACAAACTATGTGTGTCCCATTATGAAACAAAGACTATTTATGTTACCTCTGAAAAGAACTTTTTTAGCGCTTTGAAAAAAGCCGTTTGATTTATACATCAAACGGCTTTTTTCAAAGCCCTAAAAAAGTTGTTGTTGTGTACAGTGCTGCCTGGATTTTTTGAGCTCTTTATTATCGCCTCTTGCACACCACATTTTAAAATCCAAATTGTACGATACGTGCAATAGACACTCCATACTTCGGATCCACATATGGAGAGAGGACAGTCCATACTGGTACACCTCAGCTCGCACTGGTCTTGAAATAACTTCACAGAGGTTATTCATCTCACTTGGCTTCGCAAGACATATATTACAGGTAGTTGCAGATGGAGTATCTGTTATGATTGTGGATATCTTTCCATCAATCATCGTCATGTGCAAGTCATGGGAAATCTGGTAATCCTTGTATCTTGTCACAGTAAGCTCTCGGATTTCTTCTTCGATACCTGATTGCTCTTGTTTGACAAAGTCTTTGGTTTCCTTTGCAAACAGAAAATTCACCGGTCTGCAGTAAAATGTGGAAGAAGGATTGGGATTCTCCCACACTATTATATTGCCAGACTCTAGCTTCAACGGGACCAGGCTAGTCATAAATACCGATGAATCATCGAAATCAGGCAATCCACTTCGCTGTTTGTAATTACTTTGTGATGAGGATCCGTCGAAACCCCATTTGCTGGTCATCTTCATTTCACTTGTTGGTAGAACAACAGGACCAACAACTTGCATTATCCTTCGTGCAGTCAAATCCAGCAACGCTTGTAGCTTTACCCTTGCACCAATTTCTGTAACCTTGATATCAGATTTATCTGGATAGAAATTCATTTTGGCATTGAGTATTTTGTGGTATGAAGGAAGCTGCGCAGTTCCCTCGATATCAGTCAAACAAGCCCTCAGCGACAGATACTTCCATTTTGACAAATCCAGTGAAGTAGCAAGGGCCAGAGCATGATCTTCGTGCATAATATCTCTCTCCTTTTTGTCAAACAAATACGATTTGACTTCATAAACTCGGTCAGGGTTCTTCAAGATATGCTCAATCACTTGGGCAACATCATTTTTCCGTTTGTCTTAAGTAGTGTGACCAAATTAAACGACAACTCATCTTCGGAAAAATGTTTAAGCCCATCTGATCGTCTTTTGTTGGTTTCCCAGCTCTTCAAAGGGTTTTCTTGGTATAACCGTAGTAGAGGTGCCCACATCCATCGTACAAGATGTTGACGGAAGGTCGTAATCGTAATCAATGTTTTCTGGTACTTGATTTTCTTCTTCCGTGTCATCTTGAAATATCTCTGCGAGATCAAGGTTATCGCATACAGGCCACTTGATTTTTTGCTCCATCTAATCCATATTTTTGTTCATAAACGTCTTTTGGATTCTGGATGCCGTTGTCCATCGTCGATGCAAATTCATAGTGAAGATTTTACAGAACTTCAATATCTTTTCGCAATCTGTCTCAGTGAGATCAGTTGCGATACAAGACAAAATGCCTTGATGGAGTCTTGTAATTTCTAAGGCCTTCGCCTTCGCTTTCGCGTAGAAATACATAGAAGTCCAAGTAAGTCACAAATCGAGACATGATACTGTATTAGTATATCAGTAAATTAAATTGTTCAGATCGGTTCGAGTAGCGTTTCCGCGTCCCAAAAACCTTTCCTACTAGATGAGACCCGTGAGGGAGGCCCGGTGAGCGACCAGCGAGCAGGCGGTGGACTTAGGTTGAAGAGGGAGAGCAGGGCTGGTCAGTGTGGTGATGATGTCGATAGGGGTGGAGTTGTGTTTTGATTGGATGGTTTTTTTTTTTTTATTTATATATATATATATTTTTTTTTTTTTTTTTTTTTTTTTTGTTATTTTTATATATATTTTTTTTTAACCATTCCAATCTGGGAAGGAGTTGGGAGTGGGGTATATCAGGCGTGGGGCCCGCCCGCTATGTTGCGGGCGGGGCCGGCGTTAACTAGGTGGCGGTGGCTCCACCGCTCGCGAGGGTCGCGGGCGGGAACTTTGTGGTTCTCCTTCCGGCGGTAGGATCTCTCTAGGGAGAGCTCTGTCGCGGCGGGTACGGGAGCGCTCGTACGCGGGCGCTACGTCGCGCAGATGCTCATGCGACGAGTGGCTCGCTCGACCGTACATATTGGCAGCTAGTCTTTGGATGAATTTGTCTAGTGGTTCGGTGCGGAGGTCTCTATGTAGGGTAGAGTTTCGGACAAAGTGACCTGCGTTGGTGATGGTTCGCAGGGTGTGATGCTGCTGGGCGCGTAGTCTCTCTCGCTGCGATTCCGCAACCAGAGCGTACCACGCGGGGGCTGCGTAGGTGAGTAGTGGCCTAATGTATGTTTTGTAAATGTTTACTTTGATTTTGATGGGCAGGCGGCTTCGTAAAACTGGGTAGTAGTGCTCTGGCTGCTTTTGCTTGGGACACCGTGTGTTGGACGTGGCGACGAAGGTTGAGGCGGCGGTCGATCGTGACTCCAAGGTATTTGACCTCGGGAGCCCACGAGACCGGCCTGCCTAAGATGGTGAGTAATGATGCGTACCTCTTTTGTATCTTTTTCTCCAACTGAATTGGAAGGGTGGGGATGAGGTCTGGATTATCACTGAGTGTGTTTTGGTATGGGCGCACGCTATTGGCTGACACACGTTCGCTGTGCTGACCGCATAGTATGAGACCCGCATACGTGTTATAAATATAGGTGGGTCTGTCTGGATTATCACTGAGTGTGTTTTGGTATGGGCACACGCTATTGGCTGACACACGTTCGCTGTGCTGACCGCATAGTATGAGACCCGCATACGTGTTATAAATATAGGTGGGTCTGTCTGCGCCAGTCATTTCGCTTCCGTTCGTCGCTCACAACATGGGAACTGAAGAAACCAAAGCGGTACATTTACATTTGTGACGTCAGACAATATTACGCACACGCTATAATCACATTTTAACCTATTAGTCATTTTTTCTAACGTTTGTGTCAATGGAAGACAAATATATCAAATAATTCTCTATACAAAAAAAAATCGAATAGTGAGTTTTTTATTTTAAGTTTAGGTCTTTGTATTAAGGATCAAACATTATTATTGGTAGTTTATTTTCTGTTTCGAATCACATAGATGCTAAATTTACCCTCAACTACTTAAAAAATCCCATACATTTTGTATGGAAACTTCCAAGGCCTGTGGACGCCAAAGCTGCAGACTTATGGATATGACGTCAAGGCAAAAATTGACAATAATTGTAAGCACTATAACACCTACTAGCAGCTTTTATGATACTCTTTACCATTTAAAAAAAAACACCATAGTTACTTTTTTCCATACAAGAAAAAAAACAATATTTTTTTTACTATGAAAAAGTTCTTTTTAGCATAAGTGCTAGAACAAAAGTTTCTGCTATTGTTTTAAGCTGTCCGTAAAAAAAAATCATTGCGATAGCTCAACTTTGATCCCTAAGTCCACGATTTCCGAATCTTGGTCCAGTGTGCGCCGTCGCGTTCGCGCTGCGTTGAAGTGTATCGTTCTGTCTCGAATTCTCGATAGCTCGATTGAATGTTTATTTAAAAGTGTGTACATTTGTGCGCGTGTATGAGATTTGCTTATGTAGTTGAGTAGCATTTTTTATTTGACGCAAGTAAGAGCGTACTGTATCTTCCCTTTTTGATTTAATCTAAGACTAAAGTCGTTTAGGAGTCACAATGCCGGAGTGTGGAGCCAAGTTGTCCCGATATATACGTTATAGATAATTTTTTCAAACGAAAATTGGTTGAATAAATTAGTATTACCGGGATTTCCCCATTAAAAAAGAAAAAAATGTATTAAAAGGAATGGAACGCTGGCGATCAGGAAGATAGTATTTACTCAATCATAATGTATAGTTTTTTTCTTTAGCTTTAACACAAACAAAAGTTTACCGCTGCGAGTACCTGGATTACGTGCGGAGGAAGAAAAATTGTCACCTACACAAGAAGTACCACCAAGCCGCGCTCAGTATTTGGAAGGCCTTTGCCATCTTCGCAACATATCTTTAGAGAAAAACTTGCCATCAGCTTTTGTAATAGCACTAAATATGCTGCAGGTTAAAAAGGTATATATATATTTTATTGTTGTTGTTCAACGGGAAATTTCAATAGCAATAACAAAGACATATTTATATTCGTTTCAGGAACATGCTATCAAGTGTGCAAATACTAGATCTAAAGCAAAGAAAATGGCTTCTAGTTTATGTGTTGAGTCAATGTTACCATTAAGGAAAAATAAACCAAAACATGATGTGGTAGATGGTATTACTAAGTTAAATACACAGACTAATCTTAGACGAACCAGATCTATGGGCAGTATAAATAAAGAAGACAATGAAACTACACCAAAAAAGGGAAAATATGTTAGAAAAGCGTGTTCGGAGCGCAAGCCATATTTAAGAAGTGATTCCAAAAAAAATAATACCAAAAAAGATCTCTATAGTCCATCAAATTCTCCAGAACCATATAATAATAATAAGGTGAATCTAGCTGTAAAGAATTTATCTAGTCCACTAAAAAATTGTGATGTTAAGAAGATATTGCAGGAGCAACTTAGAATAGAGGAGATAATTAAACAGGAAAAGAGTGATTATGAGCTTGCGCGCAAGATGGAGGCAGAATGGAACGGACGGAGGCAGCCGCGCCGCGCCGCCATCAAGCGGCAAGTGACGCTCAACTATACTCTTAGGCATGCCAAGAAACTAAAGGTATGAACCAAGATTTTCCACTGTCCACCTCATCAAATATGTTAAGTACCTATTTATTTGTCTGTATTCTAGTGGCAATGATAATGTTGATTAAAACTCAATTAAAATAATAGAACATTATTTTGATATTTGGTACAATGATGTTATCTGTCAATTCTGATTTAATACCATACATAATTATATCCAAATGTGAAATTGCATAATTAAAAATATAATAGGCAGTCAGGTTTGAGTATGCTTTTCAAGCAGTTCATACTGTAGGTGTGTAATCTCTTAATGTGAAAATAATATTCACGTATTGAAATAAAAAAATTAAATGTCCTTTTTTATAAATAAATACTTAGCAACATCATTCCAAGACTCTTTTTCCGTATGTTTCTACTATTGGCATTAAAATCTTCCGATTAGGGTTTATAGTACGGGTCTTTATGTCTCACACGAAAAGTAATACTTGAATTTTCATTACTCCAATAATAGAAGGTGTCTAATATATAATGGATATTACAGTAGTTAGAAGGATATCTATCATGTAACTTGTTTCTTAGGAGAACTTCTAATTTCCAGTTTTCTAATGAGAATTCCTTTTACGTCCATGGTGAAATCTGTAGAATACAACATATAAAAATTATGTGAGTGCTTTTGTAATGTTATTTTTGTATATATGTATGTTCTTGTAAATATAATTGTCGATATATTATCCATACCCTTAAGCCTAAAACACACAGAGCGGGTGCGGGTCGTGTTCCTAACGTGACACGCGCGGCCCATTATGTTCACATACATAGCGGGCACGTTTTTAAAATGTCTGGCAACAAAGATATTGATATTATTTGAAGTAGTGACTTCCAGAAGGCTTTAACCGGTAATTCCTACAAATAGGCGATAGAAATTTTTTTTTTCAAATTTGACAAATTTGTTATCTATTGTATTATATATAAAAAACTCGCGCACGAATGGTTCCGTACCAAAAAAGGCAAAAAATCACGGCTGTTGTATGGGGGCTCCCATTATCCCCTTAAATACATATTTATTTTATTTTAAATATCTATTTATAAAAGGCATTTACAACTAAATATTATGTGAATATTTAAAATTTTATTATTTATTTTTAGAGTGAATATACAAGTAAATATTCTGTGAATATTTAAAGTTTCTACAACTCCTGTTGCCGTTATTAATATAACACGGCAAAAACACGGTTTTTGTATAGGAGCCCCCTTAAATATTCGTTTTGTTCTATTTATATCTGTGAAAATTTCAACTATTACGTCTATGTTTAGTTAGCTATCACGGTTCATGGTGACTGACAGACGGCCAAAAAATGGACAGCAGTTTTAGTAATTGGGTTCCGTTTTTAACCTTTGGGTACGGAACCCTAAAAAACTAACTACCGCCTTAGACTAAAACAAAAAGGGCAGATACGTCATTCGCGGCTCAAAAGTGATCCGTTTAAATTGTGGTCCACGACCATAATTCGCTTTAGTCACAATTTGACATTTAAACACGCTGCATGTATAATGCGATTCAACTAAGAATAGGACCGACTGGACGCCATATTGTGACGTCATAGCTGTCAATTCGAACGAAATAGGTAGAGAGCAAAAAAAAAAATTTAATAAAATTTATTTACTAAGATTAAATGAGAAAAACATCAGATTTTTTGTAATAAAATTTATTTACTAAGTTTGAAAAAAGAAAACCGATTTTTAATAATATTTATTTATTAAGACTGTGAGAAAAAACATTAATCAGAATTAAGCTTTTCAATTCCGCCCATCTTTGCATTACCGCCGGAGAAGTTATGAACAGGCTTGAAACCGGTTTCGAAAATACCGGTAAATAAAGGTTAATACCGGTTTTTAGTAAAGGTTTTGTTCGGAGCGTGCCCGAAATGAAAGCGGTACCTAAAACCTTAATAAACCGGTTTAATCCAGAGCGACACTTGCACGTGTGGGCATCGCTTGAAGTTTGTTACTAATCAAGTCACAACTTGTTTTAAGGTTAAGGTAGAGCCAAACCTAAATAAAACGCTCCTAATGTACTTGACACTGATTTAGGTTTGAAAATTAACCGGTAAACAAGCCCTGGTTATGAATAATCATGCACTATTACTAAGTCACATACGAACATGCATCCTTTATGTAAACGAAAGTTTTAAATCGAGTTCCTGAACGCAACTTAAAGTGACATTTGGTTGACGATTTAGAATAACAAACATTCCATAACCTAAGCTCAATATATGAAAAAAAAAAACTAACAATATTATTTATCAATATTTGTTATTGTTTGCTTACAAATGTTTTTGTTCTAGAATTAGCTGAGCTTTCAAGATTTTTTGCAAACCGTACTTTTCAAGCGATATTTGACAGATGGAGATCATTGGCTTTCCTATTCTTATTTGAATCGCATAATATACTCAATATAACAATATTGCGTATATTCTCTGTTATGAAGATAAAACAATGCCTTCGATGATTTTATAAAGAACACAAATAGCTCAAAATCAAATGCCTCGGCAATACTTTTCATTCGAAAAACTGTGAAAACATTTTTTTCTAAAAAAACACGGTTTGTCGTGAATATTATTAACGTAATCGCCATTTTGTGAGCAAGAAAAGGACAACAATACGCTGCTTTGAAGCGTATAGTTCTGTCTCGCTCGCTCGATTGATGTTTATATACAGGTGTAGCGAGAGTTGCTTATGTAGTTGAGTTGGATTATATTTTATTTGATGCTAGTATGAGCGTACCGTATCTACCCTTTTTGTTTTAATCTAAGACTACCGCGCCGTGTATTCTTGTTGTATATATAAGGCCAAGTGAATAGACCAGCCGTACTCCCGTCCCGATCCGCACCAGCCCTATGTGTGTTTTGGGCTTTACATTTAACAATTTTAACTTTTATGAAACAAAAAACGGTGCCACGCCCAGTATAGGGTTCCGTAGTTACTCGTCGTACCACAATATGTTTCGGAAAGTGTCTGTATTTTAAGCAATTACATCGTCTAAGTATTTTTTAATGTTTTCTTCTAAGGATTTTTTATTAGGTCCGAAATTTTCTGATACATAAGATGAACGACTATTACTAACAATCTCTTATCTATTAGACAAGTCCGTTCGTCCGTCCGTGGTGCTGTTTCAGCGGCCAAACCGTAACAGATAGATATAGAGAATGTTTAAGTTATAAGTTAAGAATAGTCTGATAAGACTACAAACCGGATGTGAGTAACGTAGCACTTCCGGTTTTCGAGAAATCACATGATTTCTATTTCAAACGAAACCACACAAAATCTCCGAAGTTCTCAATTAATTAAATACATTTTTTTTTTGGTGAACATTTGGTTCACTGGTTTGCTTGTTTTATTTAAACCGTTATAATTTTCCTTAAAAGTCCAGGAAAAGCATCATGATTTTTTCCAGATTTTTTAAACCAATATTTTAGCTTTTAGAGAGGGGGAGGGGGGACGCCCTACACGAGCAAAAATTTGCACTTTAAAGTTCTATATTTCGCAAACGGATCCCTAAATTGATAAATAGTCTTAGGAACACGTAAGTAACTTTCAAGGACTTATTCAATGATACCCCACACGATGGGGTAGACGATGAAATAATAAAATCTTCTTCAGGTTACATGTAGCGGAGCTACCCTAAAAAAATATTTTTCAATATTTTATTTCATCATTTTGTCGGCATGATTCGTATACAATCTTCACAAAATTACAGCTCTCTAGTGCTAACAGTCTCCAAGCAAATCCGGGGACGGACAGACAGACGGACATGACGAAACTATAAGGGACTACGGAACCCTAAAAATGCAAAGTTCCAAATCTAAAATATATTACAAATTTGAAATGGGTTGAAGGATGTAAATATTTTTGAATGTTGAATTGAAAGCGTTTCGTGGTAGGAGTTGGAATTAGACAACTGGAAAAGCGTGACCATACTGGCCCGATTTTATTGATGAAGAATTTTAATTGTGCTTTTTAATGACAACCATTATATTCTTGGCATAGGTGGTACTAAAGAGTCCAATAAAATTTTCTATTAACGGAAGCGGCAGCGCTACTAATCCATATGCCAGGAATTATGACACTGAGCTATTAGTTTGTGATAATGATAAGGCAAGGTGTAGTTTGAGCTTTAAATTTGTAATTATTAGAACTAATAATATGAAATTTCGATTATAGAAGAATTAATCAATGTACACATTCTTCTCTCGTACCTATCTTTCTATGTGAGTTAATATAAATTACTAGGGATCTCACAGATTTGTGATTAATTTGTGATTTAAAATTTAAAGTTATAGATATGTATTTTACTCTGTGGTGCTCTTGATTCAGAAATCATTGACAATGCTTTGACATTCAATATTGTATGTATTGATATGTATATAAGTGTCAATTATTATTTTTATAAATTCTAAAGTAAGCACTGATGGATTGCATGGCGAATACAAATACATTTCCTCCAAAATATAATTAATGGTCTTTCAGGTTTTATCGAGATTATCAAAAAGGCGGCTGCCTATGAAACCTGGCAAATCTTTAAGATTTGCCAGATCCCGATCACGTTGCGCTATCTGCCAGTGGTTACCACTCCATGCTTTCTGATTGTTAAGATTGGCCACTGATAAGATTTGTCTGTAATTTCATAATACAACTTATGGTAGAATAATATTTTAATTTTGTCGTAAATAAAATAATTCATTTTTTTATTGTAAAGCAGAAGGGAAATACTCTTTTTATTTATCTTGATGTAACCGAGACTTGGCAGTTACTTTCCTGTTTTAATTTGCATTTTAATTTTTAGTCATCAGAATTTAAAATTGTTATGGTAAAGATATCATCATTGTGAAAATGAATCAAAAGCGTTAAATAATAATAAATACTAATATGTAATTACTTTTAATTCAGATCCTTTATAATGTGATAAAGTAAAGATGGTAAAAAATAAATATGGAAAAGATTTTTGTTTTTTATCAAGTTTTTTTCTTCGTTTAGTAACAAAAAACCAGCCAAGTGCGAGTCTGACTCAAAGGGACCATTATCTAAACAACATTAGATGCTATATTATAATATCGAGCAAAAAACGACAAAAAATAACGTCATTTTATTTTAATTATTTATTTTTAAAAAGAATATACAACTAAATATTCTGCAAATAATTCAAGCGTCTGGCTGTTGCCGTTATTAATTAATATAGAGAAAAATAGGGCAAAAAACACGTTTTGTTGTATGCCCTTCTTAAATATTTATTTTATACTAATTTTAGTATTTGTAGTTATAGCGGCAACAGAAAAACATCATCTGTGCAAATTTCAACTGTCTAGCTGTATCACGGTTCATGGGGTACAGCCTGGGGTTCAATTGCCTAACGGGACTGCTATGGCTATCGCTTACGATTTAATTTTGGTATTTCTAACCACCGAAGGTATTTAAATATATCACGCTCATTTTCTTTAATATTGTTATTACCAATGAAAAAGAAAAAAAAAACGAGCGCGAGGCATTTTGTTGCGCGATCAAGTTTGTTTGTTGTTTATTAGTTAATTTACGATTTTATTAAGCATAAACAGTTTGTAAAAATGAAAATTCCGAGAAGAAATACTGTTTTGAAAAAATAATGTAATGACTTCATTGATTCCTTGAAACAAATCCAAATTGAAATTGGTAAAGCTACTAGTATTTTACTCGATCCGGACAGCAGCACTGTAGTTTTAAGCCAGATCAAACAAACGGCAGAAGTTATTTAGGCGGTAAATATGGAATTAAATAGTATCATTAGTGAAAAAAGGACAGCTGAGTCTACAAAAACTTCCATAGCAACGATAAGGAACATTTCCACTGAAGCCAATAGTTCCGATTTAATATAAGTTTTAGGACACCAGGAAAAAAACTTCAAATCAAAACCGATCACTGATATTGATAAATTCGATCAAGGAGTAATAAAAAGGTGCATACATAACTTTCATAGGACATATAATGCCCACCGTCCCACCGTCGGAAAGCTGAAGAAGAAGCTAGAGGTAGATATAAATTTCAAGGGCTCAGAACTAAGTCTATGACGAAAATTAAGAGTTTATAGGGTTTCTGTGAAAAAATACTGAAAACAATCGAAAAGTACTGATTGAAACTTCAAATATACGCTTGTAATGTATCAAATACTTACGCAAAATAAAACAATATCGCCAAGAGGGAAGGCCTATCGTATATACCGATGAATCATACGTAGATTTATTACACTCTTCTCGAAAAGTCTGGCCCGATTGTATTTATAAACACTATTCCCGAAACTGAGACCACTAAAAGAACAGTGCTGCGCGGGCAAGAGCGAGAGTTTGTAGTTTACCCACAAGATTACTTTCAAAGAGAGTATCAGAATGGTGGTCCATTGTTGCCACTTTCACAAGTGACTAACAGAGTAAGTGCAGCTCTTGGTATCAGTAAAAAAACTGTTTTCCGAATAAGTAAGGAAAAACATGGTAAAGATTTAATGGAAAATAATAAAATAAAATCGCCACTTAAGAAAAAATTTAGAAGATCGATCGTTACACATATCGACAATTTTGATAACGACGCCATTAGAAACCATATCTATGGCTATTATAGTAGGAATGAATTGCCGACTCTCGACAAATTGTTAAATACTTTACGAGCATCTGGACTGTTTCACGGCAGTAGAACTTCTTTGTGATGAATTTATTAAAAAAAATGGCTTTTCTTATAAAAAATGTGATAAACGGCGGATTACGATGGAACTTAGAGATAGATATAGCTTTAGCCAGATGTAATTTTCTAAGATCAGCAAAGTCCATTGCCGATTGGAATAATGTTATATTTCTAGATGAGGCTAATCATACAGTTGGCAAGATATGGACAGACGACACTCCTCCACAAAAGTACCTAGTGGCAAATGCGAACGCTTAATTATTTGTCATGCGGGTTCTATGATGGGATTTGTTCGAACTGCCTCTTGGCGTTTAAATCTAAGAAAACTGGTATAACACAAAGAGATGAATTTTGTTAAATTTAAGGATTGGTTTATACCTTATTGCAGGGCTTGTAACCGGTTTCTAAAATACCGATGAATAAAGGTTAATACCGGTTTTTTGTAAAGGTTTCGTTCGGAGCGTGTCTGAAATGAAAGTGGTACCTAAAACCTTAATAAATCGGTTTAATCCAGAGCGACACGTGCACGCGTCGGCATCGCTTGAAGTTTGTTTTATTTGAACTAATCAAGTCACGACTTGTTAATGCTCAGAGATTGATGTATTTATTGACACGTTTGCTAGCGTCTAGCGAGTCAAGTTATTCATTTTGTAGTTGTGCACTGACACAGTACTTCACTCACTCGCTCTGTAGTTGGAAAGAAACTGATATAAAATCATTATAAATTTGAATTGAAACCATGGCGAAGGCGATGCCGTCAGTAAGAGCGAAATGAAACCCTTTAAAAATCGCTAAATTGATTCAAAACCTATTTTCACTTTTTAGGAAAACCGGTTTTTTTAAGATTAAGGTAGAGCCAAACCTATAACAAATAAAATGCTCCTAATGTAGGTACTTGATACTGATTTAGGTTTGAAAATTAACCGGTAAACAAGCCCTGCCTTATTGACCAACTTGAATGAGCCAACTACGATCATTAGGGATAATGCACCGTATCATTCACTACAAATACGTAAGCCTCCAACTTCTACCAGGAAATAGCCTATATTGTGAAATGGCCGAATGACAATATTATTGTTGCTGACATGTCCATGTTAAAAGTTGCTGCTGCATTTGGTTGCTATAAATAAGCCAGCTAGACCAAAATACGTATTAGACGAAATAGCTAACCCGGACACAATTTAATACGCATTCCACCCTAACATTGTCAATACAATGCCACAGAATTGATTTGGCTGCAAATTAAAGGTAAGAATTTAAAAAAATCCTTTTATTTATTTTAACCTATTTTAACATTTTATCTGTTGCTATATTAACACTTTAAACTTTTATTTTAGGTTAGGTTAGGTTATACAGCACCTGAAAATACCAGCCTACCGTTTACTGCAAACAAAATGCTGTTATTTTAACCTATTTTAACATTTTATCTGTTGCTATATTAACACTTAAACTTTTATTTTAGGTTAGGTTAGGTTATGCAGCACCTGAAAATACCAGCCTACCGTTTACTGCAAACAAAATGCTGTCATTGTTGCAAGAAGCTTGTGATAGTGTTACTACCGGGAATAGGGAAAGTGTGGATTTACGAAAAAAAAATCTATTGTTCCCCTCTAGCTCTATTTCAGCTCCAGATAGCAGCCTTGCTCTGCGGCTGAAGAACAAAATGGCCTTTGTTTTTTCGACCGCGACCTCCAACCCAATATACCTGATCCTTCTGATCACCGTGGATGCGGCCATTGCGGTTCTATGACAGGCCTACTCATATCCAATCTCCGGGTTGCTACGAGTGTGTCATCCTCGTAGCAGAGCACACTGGCCCAAGGGGGTAGTTCGCCACGGAGGATCCAGTCATATCCCATATTCAAATTCAATATCGTTATTCAGTCTAGGCTGTTACAAGCACTTGTGAATGTCGAAAAGCTACGCCATCGGTTCGCAAATCTACGGCGGGAGACCTTGTACTGAGAAGAACCAGCAAGAAACTCAGCAAGGGCTGCTTTTTTCTCCCTGTTTTATTTCATACAGTGGCGTCCAATTGAAAGTTGACATCAAACTTGCAAACATATGTTGAGGTCAACTTCCATCACATAATGTCAAATATGTAACAATAGACAATCAACGAATTTACTAACAATAAGTGCAAAGATAAGTCCCAAAATAGCAAGAAACAATTTTCAAAACAAAATGAACAAGTATATGAAAGGGAGTAAGTGCAAGGTTCTCTTCAAAACTCTTTCTAAGGCTGGGAGCCTTAGTTTTAATATAACTTTTGAAAAATTATCTACGGGTAAAATTACAACCAGGCCGTTATCATTCAAATATTGATTGACAGTATAATATCCTTTCTTAAGTAAATAATTCTTAATGTGTATTTTAAATTTATGTGGAGGCAAATCAAGGATATCAATAGGAATCTTATTATAGAAATGTATACCTTGACCCTTAAATGATTTATGAACCTTCTGTAACCTGTTGTATACGCCATTTGTGCATGTAAAAAATGTAGTATGTGTCAAAATAGATGGCGCTGTAGTTCTTTGCATCACGCTTGCAAATTTGTTTGGAGCTACATATAGACAAAACGTCACCAAACTAATAAAGGAATCTATGGTCAAACAAAATCCACCTTAGTTTCATTTAATTCTTTTGCACCTAAGCTCTCGGATTTAAGAGTCATTTTGGCTTGAACATGGTCCTTCGTTAGTCGGATAATTAAATTTGTCCAAGGAGTTTACTTGGACTTGGAGCTGCGGTGCAAGTTTTTGTTTGAAAGACGTCACGGACAGTGGATCGCTGTTGCAAACGTGACGTGTGGCTGGAGCGGCGCACGTGAAGCGCTGATACCAAGCCGACAGCAAGGGTGCTGTCAGGCCCGCGAGCTGGTGACGTAGCTGGTGGAGGATACAACTGAAGGTGGAAATTTGCTGCAGTGGTGCCATCTGGAGGAGCCAGGTGACGAGGATTCCATATTATTTACGTGCTTGACAAGTCGGCACGATTTCATCTTGTGTGAGTGAAACGGATGAACTGTGAGTACTTTAATTTTCGACCTTATGTCTATGAAGAAATTTACTTTAAACAAATAGTGGTATTCTTGGAAAAGTGAACCTTATTTCTTAGTGAATTTTAACTTAACAATTATTTGTGTTATTATGGACTTAGAAAAATTTGTGTTGTAGATTTAGGAACTTAGAATAGTTTTAAGAAAAGCGAAGGCACGGGGAACCTATGCCCGATTTCGGTCAGAGTTTAATGTTACGTCAACTTCTTAGAAAAATTTTAGAAATTTTCCCTTATTAATGTTGTTTGTTTGTGAGCTGGAACTAAGTTTCTATTATTA